AGAGAGAGAGAGAGAGAGAGAGAGAGAAAGAGAGAGAGAGAGAGAGAGAGAGAGAAAGGCAAAGAGTAAGATAAGATAAATAGATAAAAAAAAGATATACATATATATATATATGGTTAGGTATATATATACATATTAAATATATATAAAAAAGAGAAGTAAAAAACGCGATTTATATAATTTTGCGAAAGTGAGAGAGAGAAAGAGAGAGAGAGATATAGAGTGGATGGTGAGAGGGTTGGCGAGGGGGTAACGTACCCAGTCGTGCTGCAAGCGCGTTGAGGACGTCTCTTGTAAAACTCCACTTCGTCCACCGTCCATACAGCGCCTTTCACGTTTTCGACTCGCATGAAACATTTGTGGAGAGAGAGGTTGTGTCGCACTGCGTTCTATACAAAATAATACACAGACTAAATAAGCAACGCAAAAAACGAACGAAGCCAAACTCAATCACGAATCCGATAGAGTCGATGCTTTCGAACGAAGAAAAAGGGGTTGTTGCTTGCTTGCTTGCTTGCTTGCTTGCATGATAGTAAACGATTATTCGAAATTTTTCATCGGACGATTAAGATTGAGACGTTCAAAAATTACACGACTATTAGAAATACCCGTCGATAAAAAAGCTAATGAGAAAAAGTCAAAATGATAAGAAAAATGTGTAATTTCGGTGTAAATAATTGTTAAACAGGGTTGTCACGTTTTTGGGTGGGGGCCGGGGGGTTTGGGTTTTAGTTTTCTTTTATATCGGAGATACAAGACGAGATCATCAATTATCATTTTTATTTAATTATAATAGAACATCTCGTATAATTATTTATCGTAAAAATTGTAATGCTTCTACATTTTTTTAATCTGGCTTATTATATTTTTATAAAACGAAATTCGGCGAAACAAATTATTCAAGCAGATATTTTTAATTGATTATAATTAAATTTTTTTATTTATTCTTTCTGTTTTTTTTGTTTCTTTTCTTTCTGTAATATTAATTTGTTAAAATGAGAGATAATCGATGTATTCTCGTGGTAAAATTATTTGTTATAAAATAGACGTCGAAAGCAGCAACGAACGCAATAAGCTTGCTCGCTCTTTGGTAGCTTACGTGAATAATAATAATAATAATAATAATAATGATAAAGGATTCAAGGAAATAAAAAATTAAAAATAGAAAGAGAGAGAGGTAGTGAGATAGAAAAATTGAAATGGCAATCATCCGTTCTACCGAAACTATCGCGTGCATTTTAAAAGGATTGAACGGATGAAAATAGCTCGTGAAGGTCGATTTTGTATTTGAGCTGAACATTTACTACAAATCTCTGGCACTATCGAACGCTGGTATACATGTACGTGTTTGTGTATATTTGTAGATATATTTTATACATTTAAGTATAAATATGCAGCGGCATGCATGTTAGAAAGCGTAAAAGCATTTCCTCTAAGAGAATCTTATTAATAAATATTCTCTTAACAGGGGTAGGTTTTACTTCTGGTGACAACCCTGTTTTATAAAAAATAATAAATAATACTAATAATAATAATAATTAAAAAAAAAAAAAAAAATACCGATCGTCCGTACGCGTGTTTGTTAATTTTAAAAATTTAATCAGCGAGGTGAAAAAAATGAATCGGAAATGAGAATAGTGCTAATATTTGATGCAGCGATTATGTGAACGGTGTTACGATGAAAATGATTAAATGAACGTGACAGTGCGATGTAGAAAATTATTTAAAAAAAGTAAAAAAATAGAGTTAGCCTTCGCGTAATAGTTGGGTGAAAAGAGAGGGACTAATAAAATAAAATAAAAAATTATAAATACGAACAAAAGTAAAAGGTGTTAATTAGTTGAGAAGAGAAATACTGCATTCCTTGATTGTTTAAATACACAGCTAATAATCTAAATCTAAAGGGAATGAAGGTGTAAGAAAATAATAATAATAATAATAATAATAATAATAATAATAATAATAATAATAATAATAATAATAATAATTAGGATAATCAACGACAACAATCATTCATGCCGCAGGGCCGAACAAAAGTCGAGGAAGAAGATTATTTTTGTCATCGTGATTCGCCTATTTTCGATCACAATGATCATCCCCGCCAGTATCTGTTTATAATCGTATCTGCAATTTATCGATGAGCTGCTGCTGCTGCTGCATTCTTCTTCCCTGGAAAGTTGTTGCTAAATTGTCCTATGAATATTGCATTACTATAAAAAATTTGTCAAAGTTTATTCCGAATTGTCAGTGCATTTTTTTCTTCTATGGTGTTTTCTTTTCTTTTTTTTTTGATTTAAGAAAAAAAAACAAAAAAATTGTTATGGCTTTAATCATCGTATACACATAATCCATGCGAAGGCGCGAAGCGTTATGGCAAAAGTCGAGAGATTAGTATCACGCTCACTCCTACACGCAGATAAGCATGAGTGCGCACGCACGCACATTCGAGTTATCCAAAAACAGGTGGATATTTTACGTTCTCTTCTTACGATTCTGTTTAATACATATTCTTTTTTTTATCTTTTAAAATAGCCGAGCAATTTTTATTCATATAGCTTAAACTTTGTTGAAAAATGTGAGAGAATGCTAATTTCGAAATTAAAATATACAAAATTCCAGTAAAAAGTCGTATTCCACCTGTTATGGTTACCAGCGCGTCCAACTCGGCACTTTGCAATTAACCTGTTGATTGAAATATATAAAAACGTAAAAACATTCGAAATAAATGATTAAAGCTCCTTCCATTTTTTTTTGTCAATAATAAAACAATAGCGCATTCAATAGTATATATCGACATTATGTATAAAATGTACAAAAATAATGAATTCGCTGCGCATCCAACGACGAATAATCCTTTTTTCCTTTGGGTAAAGAAATCCTATTGTTTTCTAATATCGAATATACCTTGTTATATACATAATATAAATATGAAACGTAAATATCGAGATATCATGAAATGAAAACTTGTTTCTTTTTATACGTGCTCGAATACACACATCGATTGTGTCCTGGTCATTTACAATGAATTAAATTTAAAAAATAGAAAACAAAAAAGAAAATTAATTTTATGATTTATTTTTTAATTATTTGTATTACAAAATAAACCATAAAATAAATGTTTAACATTTTTGGACTTATTGTTAATCCATTGTTATAATTATCAGCACATGTACGATGAACTACTTCGTAAAGCTTGAACTATTGCAATTGCAATTTAGTGTGTACAGGTAAATAATGTATATACGTGTAAATATATATACTTTACCGATATTGATATCATCGTAAAAGCATAAGAAAACGTAGAAAGATTTTATGCAAGTTCGTACTTGGACAAAATCCACCACCTGTGCGCTGGATCGCTACAAAAACGTTCCCTTGCAACAGAAGTTTTCAAATCATGTTATACGTTCTCGTGGGATGATGGGGCTCGAACTCGTATTTCCCGTTCATCTTTCTCCATGTTTCCTTTTTTTTTGTCTTTTGTTTTTCTTTACACGTTTCCTCCAACGAGATTATTCCGACCATAATCTCTTTTTCGTATTTATACGTATTATGAAAAATATAAGATATACCTTCCACGTAGCTGCATTTCGCCGGAAGTAGCAGAATGTGTTTTGGAACCAGTTATAAATTTCGTTGAGCGTCAGTTGTTTATCTGGAGATTCGATGATGGACTATAGCAAAAGAAACGAACTCGTATGAAAATTATCCAATTATTTTTCACTGACCATTCTAATACTAATTACATTCTAATTTGTTAGATAATAATTGAATCTACCTTTCACGTACTCGCATTTTCAGACGGTTCTCAGCTCGAAGAAAATAATGGGTAAGGGTAAAGGGGGGGGGCGGCGGGGAGGAGACGATTAGATGGGAATTAAACGGAAGACATTGTTATCTCCGATTGAAATTTGAGCACGAAAATGACACTCGTTAATCATTGTGACATTTTTTACAGTGAAATTGCTAGTAAACGTTTAGATCCTGACGAGTTAAATGCGATTTAAACGCACATAAAAAAATTTACGATAGAGAATAAGAAGAAAGGTGGAACGAGAGGTAGAAAGGTGGTTTTATTATAAAGATCAATGAAGAAATAATTCGTGGCAAATAATTAATTGCAGTAACTCACCTGTCGAATTAAGGATGCGTACGTGAAGGGTGGTCTGACATCGGCATTTTTGTAGAATTCCCTATTTCGTTGAATTTCTGAAATTCAGAATCAAGATTTAATTCTGAAGGTATAATTCGATCGACCGATTATATATATATATATATATATGTATGTATGTATGTATGTATGTATGTATGCATGTATGTACGTGGGTGTGCATGTAAATGGACACAAGGATAAGAAAATTGAAATATATGTGTGTGCGTGAATGTGTTAGGTAGAATGTGCGAATGTGTTTTAAAATGTGTGCAAGATTAAATAAGTTAAATAATAATGATACTACGAATGAAAACGAACGATTAATTTCGAGGTTATCATTCCACTTACGTATATATCAAATAATCGATAAGCTCGTTAATTACACGTGATCTTATCTAGGTATAGAGAAGAAATATTGTAAAAGAAAAATGATTCGACATATTTGAAGTATCGTTGATTTTATGTCGAAGTTAAATTTATAGTTGTATGTTAACCAATTCGTATGTAAATATGTAAGTAATTATGTAACGCATCGGACATAAAATAACTCGTTTTCTTCAACTTAGGCAGATTAAGCAAAAAAAAAGCTGGTGTGTGCAACCACATTGCGGTAAACCAGTAATTAAAAGTTAAGTGTCGCGTAAAATGGTTTTACAAATACGCAAAGCTATCGTAGGTTTTTTATTTTATTTCATTTCATTTCTTTTATTTCTATCGTCTTTAATTTGCAGATGGCCGTGCCAGAAGGCACGGTTTTATGTGAGAAAAAAAAAAAAACAAGTGGAACACAGAAAACGATCTCAAGTTAAGTTCTTGGTGTCGAACATGAACAAATCAATGCGTTATTATAAGCAAGTAATATTTTTTGTTATTTTATCAAATTTGGCTCGGTGAAATTGAATTGAAAAAAGAAAACTCTTAAGAAATTGTCATTTAACAAAAAAAATAATAACAAATTTTTCAAAAATACTTTCAATTTGCGCGACACAAAGAACTTATTTTACGAAAGGCATGCAAGATGAAGCGTTGTTCTATCATCAATGATAAAATAGATCCTTATTTTCTTTGAGAAAAAAAGAAAAAGAATTAAATAAAAAGCCATCGTGGGAGAGTGTGGAGAGAAGGTTTGACAGTACCTTGTTGGACGTCAAGGCCAGCACGCTCCAGCATGTAGGGCAGCCCTACACGGTGGGGAGGGCAGGCAGCACAAAAAGTAAAAGGAAAGAACAAAATGTATCGATAAGAAAACACTTTTCTTTTTTCTTTTATATAAATTGAATATCGCTTGTTTATCGAGAAATAGAAAAACACATGAACACACAACTAATGTGAAATTATTATATTATTATTACTTAATTAATTATATTGAGTGGATCAATTCATTATTTGTCTTGTGTCCAACTATTTCTTTTGTTTATTTTTTTTTTTTTATAGTTTCCCTTCTACCTATACACTTGCCCTATATCGCCAACAAGGTGTAGTATAAATGTATGTATAGAAATATAAAAATATGTATTACATTAAATAACGCAGTGAATATTATCGCTACGATTAAAGAAAAGGTCTTTGCGTGTATGACAGAGCTCACAACAGGAGGAGGCACGAGACCAAGAGAGAGAAAGAAAGAGAGAGAAAGAGAGAAAGAGAGAGGAACCGTAAAGAGCATTTCTGCTTTTATTTGGGATTATGCTGCTATTTATTCTTTTTTCTTTTCTTTTTTCTTCGATTCTCTCGGAATGAAGAATTACGAATGATTTTCAACGAACCGTGACATGCCAATTTTTTTAATCACAATTTTCTTTGTTACGATATCAGACTTATAAAAATTTTCAAGAAACCTGATACGAATATTTAAATATGAAATATCGGATTTGTGTTTTTTGTTTTTGAATAATATCAGGCATGTAATGGTTCGTAAAATTCATCCCGAGAGTTGGTTTCCCTTAATCATTATTACCTTCGTTAATATCTATTCCAGATCTATCGATGGTTACTCTGCGCCTTACAGTGCCCTCCTCATACAGCCCTACGGATAGTATTTAAATCTCTGAATTTATACATCTTTCGTTTTACCTTTCTCGTTATCTCAAATTTACAATTAGTTTAAAAAAAAAAAAAAACTAGTCTTTATCGCATAATATAATCATTGAAATAAAATTTTTTGAAATAATTAACAGGTAACGATGTAATATCATCGTACCTTAGATTAAGGTAAAACGGAAGTTTCTACTTTCAAATATTATACTTATTTTTTTTGTCAAACTTACATCGGTCGTAGAAAAACATGTGATCGGACGATATAGAATTATATAAAATATTTAATAATCGGGTTCGATAGACGAGGTAGAAAAATTGATTAAAATTCATTTTATGATTTAATTTGTAATTTAAATAATGATTGGATTGTTCGAAAAGTAACATCATTTTTTTAATGGTAAATAAAAGAATATGTGTTAATATTTAGAATCCAATGATCGCTAATTAGCATCCACGAGTACCTTCATTTTGTCATCATCCCTTTCAATTATATGACCTAAACGCGCGTGTTGCATTGTTCAAATAGAAATTTCAAAAAACAATTATGATTTTAATATTCACTCACACATAATTGTGTCTTTTCATATATACTACGTTATAACTTTTAATATAATAGAAAAAGCAAAACATGACGAAAATGCTCTGATTTCCAATTTCGGATGAAAACACAAGAAGATACTAAATCTCACGTGTCAATTGTTAAAATGATACAAATTGATTTGTATCAGTAAATTAACAAAATTAATTTCCATACAACTGAATATATCAAATATATTTAATTAATCATAAAATCAATTTTTATTTAACACTGGCCCCACATATTGCTATAAATTACCGACACATATAATATTTTACGTTTATACATTATAATTTAATATAATTAAAAAATGTGTAAAAATAATAATAAAGGAATGGATATTACCTCCAGCTAAGGATAAGGACGACTTGTCACTGATTCGTCGTCGTATCGGTCCCGCCATACTCGGCATGCTTCCAGGAGTTCCAGGCATGTTTGGTAACGGTGGCATCCCCGACATGTTCGACATGTTTGGTATCGGTGGCATCGCCGTACCGCCAGCGGATGGTGGCAGTTGTCCACCCGCTGGTGATCTCACTGCCGAGACTAGTGCCGACATTGAAACCGGCGAAACCTGGGACACACCAAAGTTCGGTGGTGGCTGGCTCATTAAAGCCGTCGACAAATTCAACTTTGGTAAACTCGAGCCCGTCTGAAAGCAATCGTCGAATTCCTTCTTCAACGAGATAAATAAGATAATAAGAAATTATTATCTCTCTCTCTCTCTCTCTCTCTCTCTCTCTCTCTCTCTCTGTCTCGTTACTACATTTTCTAATTTTATTTTGTTTTACAAAAATTTATTTCTTTTTTTTTTAACCCTTCATCAGCTTCGTGCATCTTGCTATGTTTCTAATAATTATATTTGTGGGATCTTGGTGTTTTGTTTTAGATTAAATAAATACAAATTAAAGACTTGCTTTCTTCTTACAATTTCATAATTCATAATCTGCCTATTCGATGTATTCTATCTAAAAAAACCTCGCAATACTCGCTCGCTATTCTTAATATTCTCTCATAATTATTCGCAATACTCTATAAAACTCGCCTGATTCTCACTGGTTTTTCCTAATATGAATTAAAATTCACTAGCTGATACATTCTTTATATTTGACACACACATTTAAGCCAAATACACACCTAAGCACACGTACACACACACACACACACACACTCTACGATACTCATTTGAACCAAGGATGAAAGAATATCCTAACACACAAACGCACGTACACATACGAACTCTACGATATCTATTTGAACCAAGGACGAAAGAATATTCTAAACAAACAAACAGACGCACACAACCGGTCTGACGATCTCTCTCTCTCTCTCTAGCACCTATTGCGATATTTACTTTTTAAATTAGTTATAAATATAAATTAATATTTTGTTTAAATATTAAAATTATTTTTGGTCTAATATATTCTTCAATATTTTATAGTATTTTCTTTCCATAAAATTTACGATTACAAATTATTTTATCTGATATTTGAGATAATATAAATTGTAATTATTAAAATCCTCTCTAACTTTCAAGATATTTTTTTTATAATTCTATAATTATCATTATATGATGCGTGAATAAAGTATAATAATGAATATAACTATGTATTAAATATATAATCCCCTTTGATCATGGAATATCTTAAAGAGAGCTGATGTGTCTTTGATAATCAACGAAGAGTTGGAAATTTGATCGTTAAATTGATTAAGATTTCATCCCTTTTCTACCACCCCTAGCACCCCACCCCCTCATATTTGATTTGAAGAAAATTATCACGAAATCGACATTCTCTAACCGGTGCTTTCTTGTTAGAGATTTTAATTAAGACGTTAGAAAATTGCCGTGTCCCTGATGAATAATTAAAATAGATTTAATGTATAAATTAGCGTGCAAGGCAAACCGCAAAACCCGCAAACACGAACGATGATAATTCGGCTGGAAATTCGCATTGTTGGGTGTTGTTGTAATAGCGTCATTGACGTTGGCCTTCGTTCGAAGAAGGAGTGCTCGTAAAATTCACAAAACGACGCCGAAACCGTCCTGAATATCCGACTTTACGACTCTCGTCTCGTATTCCTCCCGCGAGAAGAGTTTACGCGATAACGAGAACCCTCGTTACTATATATATAGTCATTCCTTTTCCAAAATATATACGCAAATATAATAAACAGTTTATTTATATCATTCAACTTTGTTTCTTAGTTTAATCGTATTCGTTATAATCATTATTCGTATTTTATTACCATTTTTCTCAATTTCATTCTATAAAAAAACTAAATTTAATGTTTATCTCCCACAAAAAATTATGATAAAATAATATAACATCGAGTTTTGTTTTTTTTTTTTTTTTTGTATTAATGTTATATCTCGTAGTTAATATAAATATTTTTTTTAATTTTTCAATGGATGACCATTTGAGAAATATTTTATTAATTGTTTCAAAATGACATAATTGTGTGTACTCACCGAAGACTCGGAAGATTTAGGTGGTTCAGGGGAAGCCATTTGTTTTGCCATATGCAAATGATGCATCATGGCATTGAGACGATCCCGTTCCTTCTGCAACTGAATCTCTAATTGAGAGACAACTTGCATCTGTACCCTCGCTTGTGCCGTCGATCTGTCGTCCAACGTGTGCTCCGTGTTTAAGTGCCTGTGATTATGATGTATCATCCTTACTCATACACACAACTTTCTATCGGTTTACTTTACTTTCTCGTTTAAGTAATTCTTATATTTTTCTTCTACGGACACATGTATAATAAAATACTATTTACTCATTTAACTTTTTCTCAACACGTGTGTTTTGTTTTTAGTAATAATTCATATGATTGATTAATGAATTTTCAACGAGAATGTTCACATTAATTAAAAAAGAAAAAAAAAAAAACAAAAATCATCGTTAAAAAACGATAAACAAAACTCCCGACGATTTTATATAAGAGAAAAAATTAATAACATCGATCGCAGAGTGTCTCGTTTACGAATCGCTCGAACAAGAAAAGAAAAACTTTGAAGATTCGACATCAAAGTAAAGAAGACGATCGACAAAAATCACCAACCACGAATTTCTCGACGAGAAAATTTGTGGAAAGAGTAGGAGATGAGTGGTGTAAAAGGGGCAAACGAGATTTACCGTTTAAGAATTTTCTCTCGACGAATGAACGATTTCAGCGTAGTTGCTGTTTCGACAGAAAAAGAATAGAGAAAGAGAGAGAGAGAGAGAGAGAGAAAGAAAAAGAACAAGAAAGAGAGGAATACAAAGTATAAAAAAATCGAACGAGGACGAAGAAGAAGAAGAAAGAGGAAAAGAAGAAGAAGAATTCGGTAGAGGAACAAAGAAAAACCGGCGTGGAAGCCGGGTTGTATGTTGAAAAGAAAGAAAGAAAGAAAGAAAGAAGAAGGAAAGATAGGAGGGTGGTGTTGGGAGTAAGGTGGAAGTAGTTGGTTTTGACGAGAGTCGAAGACGAAAAAGAAAGAGAGATAGAGATAGAGAAAGAGTGAGAGGGGGGAGGGGGATGGGAGAGGAGGGAGTAAGGTAGTGATGCGAAGGGGAGTGATGGAGCTGAGGGAGAGGGGGAGGGCCGCAAAGGGATTAGACCGAGGGGCATAACGATGCGGTCGAATGTCCTGAATATTAATGAGACAAAGGTAATTAGCGTTTTTTTTTCCTTCCTCCTCTTTCACTATCTCTCTCTTTCTCTCTCTAACTCTCTATCTTGCTCTGGTTCGTTTCTTCTCCTCTTTCTTCTTCTTTTTTTATCTTTTTTTAAGTAACGGCTTGTTTGAGGGAGTCTCGACTCGCGCCGACGAGCCAGCTACGTGATTACTAAGATTCTCGAGAGCGACTTCGAGCTTGGAAGCTCTACGAAGCTGCGGTTTGTCAATGAGAAAAAGATACGCTGACTTCAGCGACTCTATCTCTATCTCTTTTTCTTTTTCTTTTTCTTTTTCTTTCTCGTCTTCTCTTTCTCGCTTACTCTGATTTCTTTTTTTTCATTGAACACTCATCCCTTTTACTCGAATTTATAGCAACTACTGGTTCAAAATGTTACGCTTCGTGAAAAACCGAGAGAGAATTCATCTTAACCCTCTAGAACGCTTTGTAACTTTTAAGTAACACAACCCTTTGCATATCTATAGTTTTCTCTTTTTGTTATTTTTTTTTATTTTATTTAATTTTTTTATCACCAAGAAAATAAATTGCTTCTCAGTTGGTTTCTTTTTTCTTTATTCTTTTTCTGTTTCCTTTTTTTAGTATACGCCGGAATTATTAGATTTGGTATAATTGTAATTAAAATTAAAAATTTCTTTTTTCGTAGATATACGAAATATAAATTGGGTTAACGTGTATTGTTATGTTGTAGTTTTTCTATCTAACAATAAGTATAAAATTTGATATTTGGTAATTTTTTATTTTGTTATATCATCAAAATTAATATCACGAATAAATTGTTGATTACGCATGTTAATTAAAATGTTACAATTCTAACAAGGTTTCTCATCGAAAGTTTTCTATTAAATTGAGTCTCATATTTGAGGAAAAGTAATATATATATAATGAACGTAAGTGTAATACTCACTTAAGGAATGCTTGATAGTCTTCGCAAATAACTTCACAGCCCGGCCATTTGCAAACCCCGTGACCGTAGAGGGGATGAGCCTTATCGTTGCAGGAAACATCGAGTGGCTTTTCGTCTAACGGCGTCGTACCGTTCATTTCCGATCGCCGACCCGAAACTATCGAATTCAGAAGTCCTAGGATAGTCCAAGAGAGAAAATAATACATTTTAAATAATGTTAAATAACACATTTATTTTATTATAATTATATTATATTATATTATATTATATTATATTATATTATATTATATTATATTATTATATATTATATTATATTATATTATATTATATTATATTATATTATATTATATTAAATTATATTATATTATATTATATTATATTATATTATATTAACACATTTAACAGCCGGCCCCGCGAAAACACGGATCCCTGAGCTATTGTGATTCAGTGATCAGAAACAAGCGAAAAAGGTCGGCGTTTGGGATTTAAATGTCTCTTAAGTCACCGGCTGTCAATGTGTTAAAAAAGTATATTTAAAAAATCAACGAAATCATCGAACAAAATGTTGCAACGAATATAAATAGAAAATGAACGAGTAATATAAAGAAAATATTTGTACCGTTTAATCCTCCGGATTTTGGGACACTGGAATTTTGATGAGATTCCGAACCATCTGACGTTTCGGACTTCCATGTTGGTAATCCTTCTCCTGGTTGTAAACCTAAATCATTTACAAAGTATAGTAATTTTGCATTTTTATACATTTTTCCATACAAATATGTTTTTAATTGTTTTCATTTTATACGATAAAAATCAGTAATAGAATAAATTTTATTATCTAAGTACTAAACGAATAATTACCTTTTTATATATAAAAAAAAAAAAATATTTTTAAAAATAATTAGGCTTAGCATCACGTAATAATGACAATGTATAATATACAATATAATTACAAAATAAATGGACAAACAAAAAGGGTCGATTTAAAAATAGTGAATAAAAGATAAGTTTGTTTCACACATAAATTTTGGAATTGAAAGTAGCGTGTGACCTCCGACTGCTGTTTATCGAGCCAGTCTTTTACCTTTACTTTCTCTCTCTCTCTTTCTCCCTCCCTCTCTTTCTCTTTATTTTATACAGTTGCGTAAGAAAGAATAACATAGTCAAACGAGATCGACCGCAACCGAAACACTTGTACGTGGAAAAGTTTAGCTTGGGGTAAAAAGAATGGGAAATAAGAGGAGGAATGAGAAAGAGAGAGACAACAGCGAATACGATGGAAGTTCTTGCTGGATTACTCTGAAAGAGAAAGAGAGGCAGGAAAAGGGCGAAGGGTAGGTACGAGAGGGTACCTATAGCGTCCCTACGGAGGGTGCTTGTCTGGATAGCGTTGAACGTAAAGGAGAGTTTTTGGTGTTGCAGGTGGTGCCGATGGGCTTGTTCTTCTTCAAATCAAAAGGGAAACATCTTTAATGCGTGACTGTTTTTTTTTGTTTTATCAAGTACTCGATAAATAGAATTGATTTTTTTTTTAAATAAATTCTTACACCCAATTAATTGGATATACATAGAAGTACCTGACGAAGGATTGTGACTTTGTAGACCGAGACCTTGTTGTAACAGATATTGTCTCTGTGTGATCTGAAACTGTTGTACCAACTGTTGTTGTTGAAGTGCCAACTGTTGTAGCGGACCGGATGCTTTTTTCTTATCAGCCGTTTGGAGTAGATGCGTTTGTTGAATCAAATTCAATTGCAACTGTTCCTGCAGTTGTTGCATCGCCTGTTCCAATTGTTTCCTACCGAGTTCCGCGAGTTGATGTTGCTGCTGAAGTAAGACCAAGAATAACAAGATGATGGAAATGATTACACGTATTTAACGTGTAATTGAACAATATTTTTTAGACGAAGTTAGTTTCTGTTTTTTTTTGTTTCCTTCTTAATAAGCAGCAATTATTTAGAACTGGTGGATAGAAAAAAATACGAAAAAGAAAGTTAGATAGATAAAAAAAAAAGAAAAAAGGGTCTTGCATCGTCTGCCAAGGTTGATGAATAAATCACGATGTCTCAGATAATTCGCCAGGGAGGCAAGAAGAAGTAGAAGAAGAAGAAGAAGACAGAGGGCAGTTGATGGGTACCTCGAAGACAAACAACGAGACACAACGGCTGATGGCGATGCTTAATTGCTTACCTCGCCCTTGGAACACCTCCCTTCTCTCCTATCTCCCTTTTCTACTCCCTACCTTAGTCAACTTCATTCCCGATCTTCCTTCCCTTAGCCTCGAGGATATTTTAAAACAAACTTCGCGGCAGACGTCCCTTTATCGTATTACTAGAAATAAGGACCCGCAAGATTAATCGACCTGGACATATTATTATTTCTATGCCAATGGGGACAATTTAAAACGTTACCATAATTTCATATAAGAAAAGAAGAAACAAAAAACAACATATGCATAAGAAGACATCGCGAATTTATTAACCATACGTTTCGAACAAATTTTCTGTTGTCCCATATCTATACGTTCATATATAATACTAAGTTTAGTATAAATAAATTTCGTAGTTAAAAAAAAAGAAAGGTGGTATCGTTGTTGGTCGACCGGGCGAGTGATATGATAAGGTTAGGATGACGTTATAGGTGGGCTCCTGAGAACGGTTTATACTATGCGTATTGTTATCGCAACGATATGGAAGGGACTGGTTGTTTGTACAGACCGAGTATCAACCCTCTCTCCGTTAAGCGAGCCAACTTCCTCGACTACGTCGGGGATTCTTCGATCGCATCCAAATTCACTGAAGGCTTCTAGACCAACGCGCAACCGATGAAACGCGTTAACTTCCGAGAAAGAGAGACAAGACTCGCGTCGGTGCTTTCTTTGCTAAATAAATTTCATCGGATTCTAATAAAGTTGAACTTGTTTGAAGAAGGAAGAGTATTAATAATAGTAATAGTAGTAATAGTAGTAGTAGTAGTTGATAAGTGAGCTGAGATAAATAATGCATTTAAACTGAGAGCTCGATTATTGTTTACAACGTTTCGAGATAAACGAAGAAAAATGTACTCCAGATAATTGAGTTTTCTAATTAAAAATATAAACGATCGTTGAAAGTAGGAAGAAATTAGTTTGCTAGGGAAAGTGTTCGATAACTAACGTCGTAGACTGTTTGTTCTTTTAAAAAAAAAAAAACGAACTTCGTCTAGTTAGATATATTATAGTATCATCGATAAAATCCTTACGCTTTTTAACGAGAAATAGCCAAAACGTTCTTGAGTGGGCGCATGATCGGACGAGGAATCCTAAAAACGAAAAAATTCGATATAAAAATGAGCGAAACAAGTATGTTTTCAATGGCTTCATTTAATAATATAAATTATAAATACCACCTGATGATGTTGTTGCTGTTGTTGTTGGAGATAAAGGGGATGTTGCTGCAGGAAGGACTGCAGTTGCCCAGGACTGAGTATGTGTTGTTGCAACAATTGTTGCATTTGGTGGAGGCCGCTCGCCGGGCTGAGCATCATCTGAGAAGGATTCTGAGATGGTGGAGCACCCGGAGGCCCTCCGGGCGGTGGGCCCTGCGAAGGATTCGGCGGTGATCCCCGTTGAGGGGCCTATTGATAAGTCATTTATTAGCAATAATTCTAATGGCTGAACAACTCCAAGGAAGAATCAAAATAAACAATATTACCTGTGGACTTTGATGAGGGCTCGGCTGAAGACCAGGTGCACCCGAGCTCGGTTGTTGCGAATGTTGGGCGATAATGGGCTGCTTTTGCTGGGTCATGGGTGCTGCTGTCACTGTGCGTCCAGCAGGACTGAGCTTCCCATTGCTTTGGTACTCGATAGTAAGTTCCTGCTGCTGTTGCTGCTGTTGTTGTTGTGACTGTAATTGCTGTTGCTGTTGTTGTTGCTGTTGTTGATCGACAACGCTACCACCTGTGGCTTCGTTAACACCAGTACTCCTTCCTATTCCTTCTCGGCTAGCACGTATCGAGTGACGTTCTCTTTCGGGACGGCTCTCGCGATCCCGCGACGAAGATACGTTTTCGCGCGACTGTTGTTGCTGCTTCAACGCTGCAAATAGCGAAGTAGCCTGCAATACGAAAATGGAGATCGGGAGCTCGATCAAAGTCGGTTACGAGCTTCTTCACGAAGGAGAAGTACGACAAATTAGGGGAATCCAAACCGGACACGAATAAACATTATCTATCGATATTATAACTTTAAATGATCGTATATAAATATCTTATTACTTTCTACACTCCCCTCATTTCTATTTCTTCTAAAAATATAAATTGATAGATAAAAAAATTAAATTACCATAGCTGTAATCTCGAAGGGAAATGATCAAACGTGTATTATAATACCGTTTAACACACTTTACTTTCATTTCCATACGTATTTTGGATAATATCGATCTTATCTAACGGTTTTCCTGATTAAGTGCTATTGTTACACCACTAAATAGACCATGAAACCGAATCGATTTTTGCTTCATGCTAATTCACTAAAATATCTCTTAAAATATATAGAAAAAATGATGAACGTAGAAACATTTCCAAAGGGCTTTTTTCTCACGATACTATTGTCTTTTGGTTCTAAGTTCGTATAAAATGAAACAGTAGGGAAAGGATTAGGGTTTGAAGTCAGACAAAAAAGACAGAAAGAATGAAAGAAAGAAAGAAAGAGAAAAACAGGAAAAAAAAAAATTAAAGGGACCACATGACTCAGTGGCAAATTCAGCCGCAGGCTAGGTCGAGTCCTATGCTAATCTTATTTGTGTACGATTACGTATGTTTATAACATGCAAAGAAATTCCCCGGTCTCGTGCGTTATCAGTGTTTAGTCAGGAGCGTCAGCGCGTACCGCGCTTCTGCACTCGACGAAGTCTGCCGAAGTTGAGAAAAAAGAAAATGCTGGACCGAGGAGGAGTTGGCACCGAAGGAAAACAAAAGAAAAGGGCTTGCTCGGTTCTCTGGTCCTGGTGATGGTAGTGATGGTGGTGGTGATGGTGGTGGTGGTGGTAGGGTGGCAATGCTGGTGTTCTCGATTCTTCGTATAACTGTATGTAAACGTATGTAGTATATACGTGTGTATGTGTATTGGAGGGTAGAAATGTTCTCTTCGAGTACATCAAATGCAAAACGTACGTACAGCTTCGAAGATAATTCCGTAGATAAATTCGAACGGGAAAGTGGACGGAAAACGAAGTATTTCTCATCTCGAGTGATTTTACTCTTTGGCGCGGTGCTTTTTGAGGAACATCATTCGAGAAAAGCCGTTGAAACGAAACCATAACCACCACCACCACCACCACCACCACCACCACCACCACCACCACCATTATAGAAAGTAGGAAAAGAAAGGATGAATGTGCAAATATGAATTCGCTTATGGCATAGCGTCTATGCTAGCAACAACGTACTCGCAACGGACTTCTATCTCTCATTGAAATTTGTATTTCTACCTAAATGCTTTTGTGTTTCCGCGAAAAATTAGAGAAAAAAAGAGAGATAAAGAGAGTATAGCTTGCGAGATTTTTTACTTTATTCGCGTTATCAAAGCAAGCCTAATATTTTTTCAACAAGTAAAATCTTACCATGAAAGTAGATTAAGGAAAATGATTTTTAATATAGATGAGAGATCATGAATTCGAATTGTAAATATAACGTATGAAAATCTTATTTTCCGTATGATCAAATGAAATCTTTTTAAAATAAACGAACAAAGTATTTTCTTCGGTTTTCCTTTTTTTTATCATTATCCCCTTCATTTTCTTTGTATTTTTTTTATTTTTTTTTTTATTTTTTACAGCATCATCAGGAGAAATATTAATAAGGAGGTCGGACCGTATTCTTCTATTTCTTCGTTTCCAGCGTTAAAATCACAAGCTCCACGAGTGGAGGAGTTCGTTTACTCAAGGAAATGAATGAGAAGTAACGATCAGCACGAGTTTTTAATCCACTTTAGGTTTTGCTGCTGCTGCTGCTGCTGGTGGTGCTGCTGCTTAACTCTCGCCATATCGCGATCCTTTAATTTGCTAATTAATACGAACGATGTCGAGACCTTACTTCTACCACCCCACCACCCACCAACCAACCCTTTTTTTAACCAGCTTTATATTCATCTTTCTTTTTCTGTATCTTAACGAAAGGAAGAATCTTAAATATCTAAAACGAAGCTTCGTAGGGTTCAACGTCGTTCAAGAACGATGACTGCAAAGAGTAAGAAAGTTTGAGGAGGTGGGGATTGGGGGGTGGTGAGAGGTGGTGGAAAGTAGGTAGGTCGATGTGTGTACACGACAAAGCCAAAGGAAAAGAAGAATATATTATATATATATGTATATGTGTATGTGTATGTATATAAGGGTAAGGAAAGAATGAAAGTATAAGGGCCGACAGTGAAGGGCCATCGACTACAGATAAGAAGGACTCCTAAGACTCTTTTAAGAAAAGGTTAAATAAAGGTCGGGGTGCGTTTGTTGTTAGCTGTTCAGATTTCTTCTTATGATGGAACGAAGTAGTGGGGGTAGTTCTATTCCACCATCCTTCACCTCCTCGTCCTTCTTTTTCTCCTTTTTTCCACCCTCATCTTTCTGTTTCATTTCTCGTCATCGTCTCGACGACATCGAACCACTGGCGTTTTCCTTACTACTTTTCCCTAGTATCGGCACTTATTTGAATCTCCAAGAAGACTTCTCTTCCATGCTTCGTTGAAATCAGGATGCAGGAGGTTGCCGAGGGTGGTTTGGTAAGGAACTCTTCTTTCTCTCTTTCTCTCTTCACATCTTTTATATATTAAAATTTTCCCTAAGTTACCTCGCCCAACCAAACACTGTTTACTGTTTGGATTTATTTCTCTCTCTCTCTATCATTTTCATCTTCTTCTTATTATTATTCTTGGTTCGTATATCAATGAATCAACGATTCATCTTTCACGAGTGTATATGAATTTCTTCTTTACATGTTCGTATTTATCTACCCTTTTTTCTCTCTCTCTCTCTCTCTCTCTCTCTCTCTCTCTCTCTAGAGGTGGTTGTTTCTTTCTTGAAGTATTTTAAGCATTTGAAGCATTTGTTTCTCCGATATTATCGGTGAATAATAATACTTGCTAAAGAAGAAGACTCTTGGGATTGAAAGTAGACTAATGGATGTTTCAATATTTTCCAAAGGCATAATATGCGAATGAGAGTATTCCGAGATAGTCGTTTGATGTAGTCTACAATGTTTGTTTGTTACGTGACTTCGATGACTCGTAGATGTGTACAAAAAACGGGTTTTGTATGTTTAGAAAGATGTATATTGCAAGATACTTAATTGTATGGGTATATGTGTGTATTTACAACTCAATCGAGTCAATGAGAAATGTTTTTGTTCAAAAACGACGATTACTCGTACGTCATTGTCGTCAAAAGAAGAAGAAAAAAAAAGCATAAAAGAGCGTTTAACAAAAATATTATGTTATGAACAAATGTATGGATGTGACGTAAAATTTAATTAAATAAAGAATAATCATTGCATTTAACAATTATTATTTACATTTGTACGTATTTAATTATGCATATATATATATATATATGTGGGTTAAATAATTTAATCGTATTTCGGATTCGTATAAAACAAATCAATAAAGTAATTTTGTATATAGCGTTGTTCAGTCATGCGGCGATCAATAAAAAATATCTCTCCGTGATTTCTCTCGTTTCAAAATATGTTTCCTTCTTTTTTTTTCTTTTATTATTTTTCTTTTTCTTTTTGGATCAATCAGAACGATCCCTCTCCTTCCACGTGATCTCCGCGATGTTACGCCCGGGGTATGTAGGTGGAATATGGATATCGTTAGATTTTAAACGCGTTGCGAGTATACAGATTGGGAACGTTTACTCAGCACACTTTTTATACTCCGTGTCAACATCGTTACCAATCAAAGCGGCCATTTCGGATTTCGTTCGATATTTACGCGGGCTTCTCCCTTTCTTCCCTTATTCAAATTTTAACGCGGAATAATATCGTTAAAATAAGCTCTTCTCAATACACGCACGCACGCACGCACGCACACACACACAGAAGTACACATACACATATATAGATTTAATAAAGAAAAGAAGAAAAAAGAAATGGTTGTAATGCTTCCAATAGGAATCGAGATTAATTAAAATGTTTAAATGAAAAAAGTTGATGAGTTTTTAATAGAATTAAGCAAAAAATCAACTAAAATATCGATCCAATTTGAACGTCATTCTTCTCTTTCTATCTTTTTATCTTATTAGTTGTTTTTGGCAACATTTTGCAGAAACTCGAGACAGGTATTTGAACCGGAATGGAAAACAAAAAGATTTTGGCAACTCGAGATTTCATCATTTGTCTCGTTTCGTATTCACGTTCTCGCGAGCCAATCAGAGTCGGTTATAGTTCGAGAGACTCTTGTTGACATTTGTCATAATATTTTAATACTAAATCGCGCCAAGGGTTGCCATGCGCTCGCATAATCAGTTTTCATTCCTTTACTTGAGAAGTATGGGGAGTGGGTGGCAGAGAATGAGAGAGAGAGAGAGACAGAGAGAAGGTTTTCGTATGTGTTTGAAAACGCGAAATTCAACCCCTCGGAATAGGAATGATTTTATTAGTGATCAACCCTCTTCGTTCATTCGCACCATGATATGAGTCGCTCAGAAACCCATGCGGTTAAGTCCAATTTCTTTTTTATATTTTCTAATTTTTGTAAATTTTAATATTGTATAAATAACATTATTTTTATATATAGTTATTAAATGATTTACTCGTAGCTCCGTTTTCTTCTATCTCTTTCAGTTGCCAAAAGGTAAAATTCCAAATGATTTTTAGATGCTGCCATTATCCCAATAAATACTTACATTTTTATTTGCACATCCTATACATATCTTATTTTGTTGCATAGCCTATCCTTCAAAAAAAGGACTTTATATACTTTTTCGATCAAATTACAAAATCACAAATTTTAAAAACCATGAATTTTCTCAATTTTTCTTTTCCGAATTTAACCGCAATGATTTCTGTACGACTCGTAGATCTTGGAAAACAGCATTTGTTAAAACAAATCTTTACATTGGTATTC